ATAATGCCCGAAGCATTACTCAGATCTTTGTCGAAGCTTAATTAACACGTCGTTCCATCAAACTAAAATGATTACGCGCGAGACCTATCTGAAATGAACAACCTTGCAACTATCATGAAGTACACGATAATACAATATAAATCGTGTATATATATACTCGGATAACATAATGCCTCACTATTTCGAAATTATCAATATTATAAAAATATATTCCTGTCAGTCTGGCGCATCAATCTTGCCTTATGAAACAGTTAATAAATGATTGTGAGATTCATTAAGTTTCTATATATACGTTGCAAATGGCACTGTTCAACTTGATGACCCTCTATGCGAGAGATAGTGAGGCCCGGGACTAATTAGGCTCTTTCTTTGAGTCTGTCATTCCGAGTCTTCTCTAAATTATAAAATCCCCGCGGCAAATTTCGTAGGATGCTTAACAGTAAAAAGTATGCAAGAAAACTTTCGCGAAAAAGTAGGACAGTTCTACTTTTTCATATAAAAGAGAATTTTTTACTATTTCGGTAACTCACATTTTAAGTAAGCAAAGTAAGAGTTTTGCTAAAAGATAATCAGTCGTATACGAATGAAATAAAGCAACTTTCTTCGTCTGTATTTGCTAGAAAAAAATACACAAATTATTCATTAAATAAAGATTATTGTTTAATAAGTTTAAGAAATTATAGAAAATGTTGCAATAGGTATGTATTAAAATAAATTAAAAACAAAATTATACTCATATCATATCTATAACGTATATTATTTATACGTTCTTGTGATTGTCTTGGGCTTTTTAATAAGCTACAGCTATATATTATAGCTATAAAAGGAACAAATTATAAAAGATTTTCACGGGGTCAAATATAATGCGCCATTTTCATCAAAGATACGATTATAGACACACAGAGTGCTTCATTAACTATAATACATCCTATCTTGGCAAGAGAAAGCAGAATGAAGGATTGACGATCGTTTATATGAGAGTTGAAAGACTTGAAAGATTTCGTTACATAATCGCGTATTCGCACATCGCATCTATTTCTATATATAGAATTCTCCGACGATATTTTTCGACACAACTTTCGACAAAATGATTATGTTTCTCTGCGAGTAAAACTCGCTAAAGCATGCAATGGTGTGCTTCCATTTACGAATAAGTTCGCGTTCGCTGTGGCTTACGACGCGGTCGACGATGCCGCGATGGGTACATAACTAGCGAATCCGATGCGAAGAATAGGAAAAAAAATCAATGCGTTTTTTCCGTTAAACGGACCGGTATTGTATCGACATATGGCTAATACGCGAACGGAAAAATGTCGATCCAATAATACCGAGAGCGCGATATCGCGCAAATACGCATCGCGCGCGCGAACGATGGCTTCCATTGGAATGACGTCGTCACTGGCGCACGTAATCCCATTCATCTTGTCACCGACTCTCTAAATTCTCGTCGATATCTGCCGCCCAACTATCGCATCGTAGATAGATAGATCGTTGGTGCATTTCCCTGCTCCAATCGTATTTTATTGCTAGAGCTAGACTATCCTCAAGCCACTAGGATAAATTGCAATTTCATCGTCCGGTAAATTCGTGGTTATTTCTATATGCAGAAGATTCGAATAAGATAATTTAAACACACACACACACACGCACGCACGCACGCACACGCACACGCACACACACACACACACACACACACACACACACCGTTGGTTGATCGTCAAGATAAAGCGCGCAAACCTAATGCAGACTCTGTCGTTGATTAACTCTCTGGTTTAATTACACCAACGGCCGATTTTTGCTAAGCAAATTGATACGATCGTCGGCCGCGACAAAAATGGTAAATATAGTTATAGCCCTGAAAATGATTCGAATCATTGTCAGGTGAATAAAACGCGAATAGTATAGTATATTAATAAACAGTGAAACAAGCACTAATAATGTACTACAATAAGTACTGCATCAGATGTACTATTTCGGACTAAAGAATGAAATGAATTGAAATCGAATTATAACGGAGTTATATTTTCAAACTGGACTTGGTAATATTTTTGTACACATACCGTAATTAATTGTAGATAATTATACACTTAGATTATTTATTCTCAAAGATTAAATAATACCTATGTATTATTTTGTATTTCTGCCAAAGGGATATATGCATCTCTTACGTGCCAAACTTTAACTATAACATATGTTACCACTAGAGAACTAAAGACAACAATACCACTTACACGTAGTTGTGTTCGTCCAGAGATAAAAGATTTTTGTGCATCTTTCGATAATTTGGAAATTTTGAAAATTTCAAAAAAATGGTATACGAACGCATTGAAGACAATTCAAGTTGTTGTTATTAAAATATAATGTTTAAAAGCCGTATAGCTGAAGAAATGTCTCCATACTCATACGCGATCGACTACTGAGTTTATTTTTATAGAAACTATCGCGTTTAGAACTCTCCAAATCTCCATGTTTCCGCAGTCTTGTACAAGTGTCTACAAATGGCTAACGAGGAAGAAATATCGTGGTTCCGCGAAAACAAGGTCGGCGAAAAATATTCGTTTACGAAGAGAAATGATGCTATTATCGTCTTTTAAAGCAACCGTACAAAATGATACCAACCGGAAAAGCACGAGACACCAGTATATTCGTCTAAATGATAAGAATAGCGCGCTACCCGTAACAGAAATTGGAAATCAATATTTAAACCTATTCTTGAGGTGTCGTGACCAAGCTGGATTTGCGTGCGGTACTGAATAGATAAGAAGAGTACCAGAATAGTGTTACGAAGCCGTGCATCCTTATCGAAAGGAAACGTGTCGTGGATTACTTATTATCGTTATTTTCTATCGTATAATAAATAGCTAGCGGCTTAATCGTCTGCTTAAGCGTGTGATCAGATTTAACACGATATGCAATCGCAGAAAACTCACAAAAGTCTGTATCCATAACTTTTTTCTCAATTATACCTATCAAATTCATCGTTTTAATTTCTATAAATGTTGCGTTTTATTCCGCAGTTTCCAGTAGAAAATAACGTTAAAGAGAAAAGAGCATATGTAGAAAAATGGAATTATTGTTAATTACATGAGCCATATATGATATACGAGCATGTAACACAATCAACCGTACACACGCACACAACGCTCGAAATAAAATTTAAAAGTAATAAAATGAGATACATGCAGAGAGAGAGAGAGAGAAACATCGACCATAAAGGTTTTAACGTCAAAGGATTGCTTTTATTTCTGCTTTTGTAAAACAATGTAATCGTATCACGAAACAAAGTGATTTAAAGTTTTAGTAAAATATCGAGACAACGAATGATTAATTAGTTTGCATTTCATACTGTTTTTAATATTTCACATATCGCGCTTGTTTCTAGCATTTGCGTGCAAGATACTAAAGAAGTAATTTAATTGGGAACTTGCAAATACATCTCGTAGAAAAATATTTGCGTTCTGAGAGAAAATATCTATCCCACAAAAGAATATTTTCGACACGCGAATTGTACCAAACAAATTCATGCATGCTGTCCTATCATATAAGCGAATAACGAACTACACAACGGAAAAGCAGGCAGTAACGATATATATCTCGACTATCTTATTTTACGGTAGAATAAATGTTGGCAAAGTTGAGACTCTCGGCATCAGTCTTTAAATTCTGTTTTTGCATTCGGGCCATGGCAAATTTATCTTCACGCTTGGCAACTTGTAAAAACTCTCCACGAAAAGACGTGACCCGTGATACACTCGACGTCGACTTTGTTTCGGTTTATTCGTCCCGCTTTATTTCCCTTCACACACGACCTTTCCTTCGTAACTATTTCCAACAGTGGTTACCCAATAACTACCCAAATTTCCTCGCGCGCGCGAGTGCATGTGTGTGTGTGTGTGTGTGTGT